TTATACACACATTTCCTATTCAAAAATATATTTCTGATAAACTCCATGTCTAAACAATTTTAATGGAAAACAAGACTACTTTGACTTGACTCTCCAGTCAGATCAGTTTCCATACAGAACTTCGCCCTTTGATCCATGTCCAAGAACATATTTATCAAGGAATTTATATAGCTGTTTAAATTCACTTCCTGATGCGAATTAAAACGACTTTCATGTGCAAAACCCCTTGAAAGTTCCTTGTGTGTGAAGTGAAGATTTCTCCATCTTTTTCATGTGTCCCTTGATCTTGTGATCTTCTCCCTCCGAGTTGTCCTGCTGGGCAGTTCATCTCTGCTGCAGGAGAGCTGGATGGATGAGCTTCCCCTTTGCCCACAGGGACAGATCACAACGTGATGTGCTCTTCCCAAGCACTGACTGAGCACTCAGGCTCTCTTGGCTGCACAAGGAGAACGCTAGGGTTTTGTCATTTTTCTTGGGGAGTACTTGTTTTGTTTTTCAAGCAGCTTGGCATTTAAAATACCATAGCCACTTGAACAGTGGGCAGATCCTTCAGGTTGCCATGTTGCAAGTTGCCAGGTTCTTGAAAGCACCCGGAGAAAAACTGATGCACCCAATCCCTCCCCTCACTGTGCTTCAGCCGTTTGGAGGGCTCAGCCAGCTACAGCATTGAGAGCGCAGCTGCCTCCAACAGCGACGGTGGCCCGAGCATTGTTTTGTTGTCGTTTCTGCAGAGGAGCGGCAGGAGCTTACATCATTTCCAGTAATGAAGTGCCTGGGGTTCTTTTATGACTTGCACACTCTGCTTCTCCAGAGCTGTACAGTATGTGCTGCATGACTCCAGGAAACTGAGGATTTGTTTTGACTTGCTAAAAGAACGTTTGCCGTTTCTCTTTACAATTTCACCATATGACTTGTCAATTCTCTCCCCCTCTTAAGAATAACTTCAGATTTAATTAGCTGAGTGCAAACATCTTTCATTGCAGTGTGGATTAGACTCCTCATTGAGTACATTTACCAACAGAATGAAAGACATCTTAATCAGGCATTTCTGTATTTGTACTGCTGTGTCCAGAGTGCATGGTAACAGTTGATAGACAGTTGCTATTGACTCCCTTTCTAGTGGGGGATGACCAGTGATGTGTGGACAAGTCTTGTTAAGGCTTGCATTTTGGTTTTGATGCTCTGTCTGCTACCTAAGAGCACTTTCTGAGTGTGTTTCATTATCATTTCCCTATCTGCTATGTAGGAAAAATGATACTTATGTGCCTTGCTGGGATGTCCTGAAATTGCTGGCTTGTCCCCACTAGTTCCACAATGACCTTGTCTAGCGTATTTTAAATGGTGCAATTTATACTTTGCTGAATTGCAAAGTAACACTGCACACCAATCTCTATTAGACAAATTTGGCACCAGCTTCCCAAAGCATTACCCAGATATATGCATGTGTATGTGCTTTGAATTTTCAGCAGTGAATCTCAGTTCGCATTTCCACTACTCAGAGAACATTCTCCAGACCATGAACCCCCTGGGCTGTTTTGGGGATATCATAACCCAAGCAGCAGCCTCCAAAACTCTCTGTAAGTCCCAGAGTAAAAGCTTGTGCTGCAGCAAAAGCAGCTGATTTACCTGAATGTGCACAGTCACACCGAATGCACCGAATGCTTTTTGGCACTATCAAAACCAGTAAAGAACAGCACAAAATCCACAGTCCCCTTTGTAAAATTGTCATCCTTTTGTTAGTTCCAGATACTGATCTTGTCATAAGCACTTTAAAAACACTTTTAACCCCTAATCCACTAGTCACTTCCGCGCAGTTAAAATTTGTTAAGTTCATTTTTAGCCATCTCTCCTCTCAAAGGTGCTGTGGTTTCTGTTTGATTTTTCAGAAGTGAATCATAGTTTCAAAACCCTCACTGCCTTAGTGAAACACTCTTTTTCCGTTAGCATTCAACATGTTTAACAGGGGTTCAGACATGTTATCAGAAACTTACACTACAATCCCTAAAAAAACTCCTGTGTGATTTCATGCCCTGGAAACACCTTTTATATTGTAACTATTCCTACAGCTATCTGGAGATGAGGCATATGGATCTGAGCTAGTCAAAGTAATTCCATAATGGCTTCTGGCTCAACAAACATGTACAGTACAAACAGAAAGCAGAACAGCTGTAGTAGAGTTACCTTTTATGTGGGTGGCATAGACATCTGCCAATTAAAATGATCTGATGATTCATTTCTTGCCATATGATTACTGTTAATAGGAATTTATGTTAACATGTTTGTGTCTGAACTTTGCACAGGTTCATTCCTGCATTTATTTTCTTAAAGAATAGAGTTTATCATAGCTGTTTTTTTGTTCTTAATGGACTTTTCTTTCTTCATTTGAAAGCATTCCAAGACTTCAGTAATGCAGAGACGCCAACTATCCCTTAAAGGAAGATGTTTCCATCTCCATGTAGTGCTTTCTCCATGTGATTCTATATATAGACGCCAATAGGTTTTAACCTGGGAATGTCAAGCTAAGCCTTTAAATCCATATACCAGCACTTAAAAAGAGACCACAGCCTTCAAAACAGAAAAAGAGGAGTTCTCAAAAACTTAGAATCATAGAATCATAGAACAGTTAGGGTTGGAAAGGACCTTAATATCATCCAGTTCCAACCCCCCTGCCATGGGCAGGGACACCTCGCTCTAAACCATATCACCCAAGGCTTCATCCAACCTGGTCTTCAACACTGCCAGGGATGGAGCATTCACAACCTCCCTGGGTAACTCATTCCAGTGCCTCACCACCCTTACAGTAAAGAACTTCCTCCTTATATCCAATCTAAACTTCCACTGTTTAAGTTTTAACCCATTACCCCTTGTCCTATCACTACAGTCCCTAATGAGGAGTCCCTCCCAGCATCTCTATAGGCCCCCTTCAGATACTGAAAGGCTGCTATGAGGTCTCCATGCAGCCTTCTCTTCTCCAGGCTGAACAGCCCCAACTTTCTCAGCCTGTCTTCATACAGGAGGTGCTCCAGTCCCCTGATCATCCTCGTGGCCCTCCTCTGGACTTGTTCCAACAGTTCCATGTCCTTTTTATGTTGAGGACACCAGAACTGCACACAAGACTCCAAGTGAGGTCTTACGAGAGCAGAGTAAAGAGACAGGATCACCTCCTTCGACCTGCTGGTCACGCTCATTTTGATGCAGCCCAGGATACGGTTGGCTTTCTGGGCTGCAAGCGCACACTGAAACCAGCTCATGTTCATTTTCTCATCAGCCAACACCCCCAAGTCCTTCTCCACAGGGCTGCTCCGAATCTCTTCTCTGCCCAACCTGTAGCTGTGTCTGGGATTGCTCCGACCCAGGTGTAGGAACTTGCACTTGGCATGGTTAAACTTCATGAGGTTGGCATCAGCCCACCTCACAAGTGTGTCAAGGTCCCTCTGGATGGCATTCCTTCCCTCCAGCGTATCAACCGAACCACACAGATTGGTGTCATCCGCAAACTTGCTGAGGGCGCACTCAATCCCACTGTCCATGTCAGCGACAAAGATGTTAAACAAGACTGGTCCCAACACCAATCCCTGAGAGACACCACTCGTAACTGGTCTCCAGCTGGACATTGAGCCATTGACCACAACTCTTTGTGTGCAGCCATCCAGCCAGTTCTTTATCCAGCGAGTGGTCCATCCATCAGATTGATGTCTCTCCAATTTAGAGACAAGGATGTCGTGTGGGACAGTGTCGAACGCTTTGCACAAATCCAGGTAGATGACATCAACTGCTCTGCCCCTGTCCATGAGTTCTGTAGCCCCATCATAGAAGGCCACCAAATTGGTCAGGCAGGATTTCCCCTTAGTGAAGCCATGCTGGCTGTCACCAGGCACCTGGTTGTTTTTCATGTGCTTTAGCATGCCTTCTAGGAGAATCTGCTCGAAGATTTTGCCAGGCACAGAGGTGAGACTGACTGGTCTGTTATTCCTTGGGTCATCCATTTTCCCCTTCTTGAAAATGGGGGTTATATTTCCCTTTTTCCAGTTATCCAGAACTTCACCTGACTGCCATGGTTTCTCAAATATGATGGTCAGCGTCTTCATTTGTCAGCTCCTTCAGGACCCGTGGATGGATTTCATCAGGTCCCATGAACTTGTGCATGTTCAGATTTTTAAGATGGCCTTGAACCAGTTCCTCTCCTACAGTGGGCCCGACTTCTATTAAAGCTTCTTGTTATAAGCATTTATACTTACGCTTTCCTTTAAGTAGTCCCACTCACTTCCAGGCTTTAGCTATTGACTTTATTACACTAACTCTCTGTGTATAAAATCAAGCAGTTTTTCTCCAGAACTGATATCTTCTATTTATAGTGAGAAATTCAGGTGTGGCAAAGTGCTGTTTTCAATATCTTCAGAGGCTTACAGAGCATTTCAAAGTATTTGAGGTCTGTGCAACAAGTGAGATGTTTCATAGCAAGAAATACACAGGTTTAAGGGTCCATCTCTAAGCAGAGAAATGTAGTATAAAATTCCAAATAAGCTTCATAAATACAGTAGGACAGGGTAGAGACAGAAAGAAAACAATTGCAATAAGGCTGTGTGAAGTACAGTTCAGCTAGGATAAGTGGTGAGAGACTCATCATTCTTGTGAATCTCATTTGGAAGCCATGAGCAGAACAAACATTTTGATGCAAGAACTTCTTCCCATGGGACTTAGAACAGTTACTAGACAATATACTGAGGAAAGCAATCCTAAAGAGACTAAGGAGGAACTTGGCAAATAGATAATTTGTTTCCCTCTACTGGCAATTCTGCCACTCACATTAGTAGGAACAGAGGACACCAATAAGCAAGGTATTTTTATGGCCCTTATATTGGAGCTTTTGGGGGTTCTGTGGCTAACAGTGTGCTTCTTACATCTGCTCTTTCCATGCGCACCGATGCTTTGTAATCCTATCTGCATCCATTTTCCTGGCAGCCTTGATAAATCAAGAACTCTCATATGTTTTTTTCCAGTGTCATCCTGCATTACGACCTATAAGAAGACACCGCCTCCAGTCCCACCAAGAACTACCACAAAACCATTTATTTCTATCACAGCCCAGAGCAGCACAGAATCTGCCCAAGATGCATATATGGATGGCCATGGACAGAGGGGAGATATCATCAGTCAGTCTGGACTTAGCAACTCCACGGAGAGCTTGGACAGTATGAAGGCTCTGACAGCTGCTATTGAAGCTGCCAATGCACAGATCCATGGCCCTGCAAGTCAACATGTAGGGAACAACACTGCCACCGTAACCACCACCACAACTATTGCCACCGTTGCAGTAGAAGATAGAAAGAAGGACCACTTCAAGAAAAACAGATGCTTGTCTATTGGAATACAGGTATAGTACAGTACATGGATTATTGCCTGCCATTGTTTTGGATCTCTACTTCTGGTTTACTGCTTGTTATGCAATGTTTTGTGTATTTTTCTTGTTTTCCTGGCAGGTACCTATGTAGAAATTGCAGCAGCATAATCATTCTGCATGGTACTAATGATGTTTTCCTAATTTATCGTAAAAACATCAGATGCAATGATTTGTTTAAGTCTCCTTGCTGCTTGTTATTCAGCTTTGTTAAATTACACACATGAGCACTAATCTATGAATCATAACACAGCGGGGGTCAGAAAGGCATGAATTAAATCACTGAAAGGGAATGTGTAAAACAATGATTTACATTACACTATCACCCAAAAAATATTTTCGTCCAGCCTCAGTGAATTAATTGTCACTGCTTATTCATGCATTTCATAATGACTGGTAGCCACTTGAATGAGGCAGCGTTGTTCCTATCTGAATCTCAAGAGCAGAGGGTAAGTTTCTTCCAAGTTGCCCTTGTGAAAGAAAATTACATTTTGTTACCTCTATTGTAAGAAAACAAGAAAACTAACCCTGCCAAAGTTCACTCCTATTTACAGAATGAAGAAGAACAAATAAACCAAACCAATGTAATCTGCTTTCTTAATCTTTCCTGTACCCCAAAAAAGAGCCAAAAAATAAAAAAAAATAAAGAAAATAAGAACATGCATAGGACTCCAGCTATCTGCCTGTGAGATTAACATTTACAATGAAGCGCTTGAACTTACAATAAACTGAGACTCAACATGGGTTTTGATGGGAGATGAACCCCAAGCAAATAGAATATCAATCCACAGCTTACCAGCCTGAAGACATGATGTTTTTCTTGCAGATGGAGGTTGGTATGCACAGCACTTTGTGCCTGGACAGGCTTGTCTGATTAGCAAAGCCTAAGAATTTACCATGAAATCTCTGCATCAGCCTGATGAGAGGTGCTGTGTCGAAGTATGCCATACCAGGGGCAGCTCTGGGGTAGCTGTGACTTTTCTCTTATTTATTCTTGGAAGGGCAGTAATTACTATTAGAATCATAGAATCATAGAATCATAGAATAGTTAGGGTTGGAAAGGACCTTAAGATCATCAGGTTCCAACCCCCCTGCCATGGGCAGGGACACCTCGCTCTAAACCATATCACCCAAGGCCTCGTCCGAACTGGCCTTGAACACTGCCAGGGATGGAGCATTCACAACCTCCCTGGACAATCTATTCCAGTGCCTCACCACCCTAACAGGAAAGAATTTCCTCCTTATATCCAATCTAAACTTCCCCTGTTTAAGTTTTAACCCATTACCCCTTGTCCTATCACTACAGTCCCTAATGAATAGTCCCTCCCCAGCATCACTATAGGCCCCTTTCAGATACTGGAAGGCTGCTATGAGGTCTCCACACAGCCTTCTCTTCTCCAGGCTGAACAGCCCCCACTTTCTCAGCCTATCTTCATATGGGAGGTGCTCCAGTCCCCTGATCATCCTCTTGGCCCTCCTCTGGACTTGTTCCAACAGTTCCATGTCTTTTTTATGTTGAGGACACCAGAACTGCACACAATACTCCAAGTGAGGTCTCACGAGAGCAGAATAAAGTGGCAGGATCAGCTTCTTCAACCTGCTGGTCACACTCCTTTTGATGCAGCCCAGGATACGGTGGGCTTTCTGGGCTGCAAGTGCACACTGAAGCTGGCTCATGTTCATTTTCTCATCGACCAACACCCCCAAGTCCTTCTCCGCAGGGCTGCTCTGAATCTCTTCTCTGCCCAGCCTGTAGCTGTGTCTGGGATTGCTCCAACCCAGGTGTAGGACCTTGCACTTGTCATGATTAAACTTCATGAGTTTGGCATCAGCCCACCTCACAAGTGTGTCAAGGTCCCTCTGGATGGCATTCCTTCCCTCCAGCGTATCAACCGAACCACACAGATTGGTGTCATCGGCAAACTTGCTGAGGGCGCACTCAATCCCACTGTCCATGTCAGCGACAAAGATGTTAAACAAGACTGGTCCCAACACCGATCCCTGAGGGACACCACTCATTACTGGTCTCCAGCTGGACATTGAGCCATTGACCACAACTCTTTGTGTGCGGCTATTGCCTGTGGGTTTGGTTCTCTGCCTTGGTTGTAGCCTTTTTCTGCTTCACAGACATTTGTTTGGGATATATTCTGATAGAAGGGCTGATGTTCATTTTTAAACACAGGTGCATGATCCAGGTGGGACAGGTATAGGGAAAGCTCTTCTATTCCTTATTCACATTCTCAGCCAAGTTTAATGTTGTAATTCCTCATTTCACTGAGCAAGGCAACAAAGACTCCTTAGCAGGCAAACACCCTGCAAAATGATATTTTTGCCTTAGCAGGCAAACACCCTGCAGAAAGAAATCATTTCCATGTTTGCAGAAGCCAAAATGAACAACAGTAATGTGTTCTTGGCTCTTGAGACACCACCTCCCTGATGTCTCTTCTTCAGGTAGTGTTTCTGCAAGTAACAAATGCTGCTTTTGGAAGTATAGGGGACTCAGTTTCTTGAGATCTGAGGCAAATAGAGCCCCAAATGATGTTCAAGTCTTTGAAACTTTGAAATTTACAGATGACCAGCATAATCATATGTGAAAGCTGCCTGGGGATTGTCATGAGGCTCTGCCAGGGTAATTTTTGTGTACAAACCAATGGAGATGCCAAAAACTGGGATTACATGAAGCAAAGCCTTCAGCAGTGATACAGTCTTACAGGATTCCTGCCCATGCACCATTCCACCTCCCAGTTGTGCCCATCAGTGAGATTTTTAGAGTCAGACAGGCTTCACAAATAAAACTACTTTGCTAGTCTGCTGTCTGGTCCATTTTGCAGCATCATTGCACAAGCAGTCATGATGGTGGTACAGCTGAAGAGGTAGTGTGGGAGTGGAAGTACCATAAAACAGCTGTTGCTGCTAGAAATTACTTATTTTAGAAACAACTGCCCTAAAATAGGTAGGGATGCTGTCAGCCCTCAGACTGGCAGTGTGGAGTCAGTCTCTCTCCACTGACTATGAAGAGAACCTAGGTTAGGCTTATACTCAGACCAGGCATGAACCTTAATTGTAGCTTGGCCCATCATTGTAGAGCAAGGCAAGCTGAAGAGGTATAGTCTTGGTTTGCTACCTCCTCTAACAAACAAAGCTAATGTGTATTCATGATGAACCTCCATGTGTGTCCTCTGCACCCCTCAGTCATTTTTGGGCACTTGGGGCTGTACCCCAAGCCTTTGCTGTAAATCTGTTTAGCAAAACACAAAGTAAAGCAAAAAAAGACCCCTTCCATCAAAAGGCTCTTTCTCTCAGTTATAGGATTTAAGGCATAGGTATCTCCCCAAAAGCCTCAGTACCAGGTAAGTACCTCAATTCTTTGAGCAGGTCTGTAACTTTTCATCCCTCCTTGAGCACATTTTCTGCATAGGCTGTTCAAGTAGCTCTCAACAAGCTTATTTACTGGTGGAAGAGATGCTAACTACAACAGAAGGTACACCCAGAATCATGGTGAATCCACAGGTCACTTTGTAACCCTGCTGTGCTCCAAAAATTCTGTGTGCCAGAAATTGTTTTTCTTGTATGACTACTAATCTCATATATAGCATTGACAATTAACAACTTTACACAATTGGTATATATCTCCTCAAAGAGATTGGGAGGTGGTACAAAGTTCTTGCCTCTGCTCCTGGGGACCACCTGTTTGCATAATGAAGCAGTAAAGAAAATGCATCCAAAAGCAGCATCTGTTTTCTTTAAGTCTTATCTGTACAGTGCTCTGATATAAACACTGAAAATAAACACATAATTTTGACATGAGTTCATGTATGTACACATATACAGACTAACAGGTAAAATCAAACAAACAGAGCACAGTAAGCGGAGTTACAGCTGCTCAGAGATTTGCTCAGGCAAACGGGAATATCCAGACTCCAGAAAACATTGGATAAAATCCATTTGCATTTTGCAGGCTGAATGTTGTCTTACCAGAAATGATTTGTAGATCAACAAGAATAATGAATATCCACTAATAACATCAGAAATGGGCACAGCACAGGTAAACTATCTGACTAGATGAAGGTACTTACAGTACAAGTTATATGTGCAGACACTTATTTTGCATAGAAATTGTAAGCAGCTGGGCTATACCTCTGTTAAAATACATTATAATTAGCTGGATTTTTTTTTTTAAGGTTGATGGTGCTGAAGAGTCCAATAAATCAGTTGAAAATAAAGCAACCAGTAAGTTCCAGTCCATAGGAGTTCAAGTAGAGGAGGAAAAGTGGTGAGTAAAAGTTAATAATGTTTTTCTAAAGTAAATAATTATGCCACAACTAATTTTTAAGAGCCCTAGTTCCTGCGCACATGACCATATTAACCTGCTTCCTGGATGAATTGTTAGATCACCCAACTGAAAAGATGAGTCTTATAAATGCTGTAGCTCTTATTTCTCAGAGGGGATTTTTCCAGACCACTGGCAGAAGTGGAAGAAAAGTGCCACATATTTTAAAGGTCAATGTACTTTTAATAGGCTCTTTTTCCCCAGAAAAACATCCTAAACAGCAAAAGGTGATGCAGATGGAATATTAGTCTTGGGGCAGCTGCAGCAGCATGGAGTTGACAGGGAAGTTTACCTTGTTTTTCAGCAGAATAATTCCAGCCATGTGGAGCAGTGCAGTGGCAGAGCCAAACTGATTGCTTTTGCTCGGGTATCTCACCCAGACATCTCTGCATTACAACTGCTTCCTTGTGAAAAAATGTTGAGATTTAAAAGCAAGCTTGTAAAACTCAGTTGTCTCTCCAGTCTGCAGTGCAACCTGAATTAGCAAACACATATGCTTCAGTTGTTGCCTTTAAGGGTTGTATTTCTTTTTGGTGACAAATTGCAATTAAGTTGTAGGGAAGCATAAGCGTGCATAGCATTTCCCAGACACGTAAAGTTTCTGAGTGCTTGACCACAACTGTAATTCTTAATTCCTGCCCAAAACTGGACTTGATGGCTGAAGAAAAACTGGACTCTCCCCTCACCTCCGAGCATGCAGGCCTGCCCAATGATGCTGTGGCTGCAAGCACACACCCAAGTCTGTTTGTTTTTCATTTTGTTTGGCAGCAGCATAACTTTTGGCTTCTGTAGCCATTTTGCTGATGGATTCTGGAGCCATTTTGCTCCTTGTACTGTATCGTGGGAGAAGCCTCAGGGTTTGTCACTGAGGGAAGAGCCACCCTTGCAATCTTTCCAGAGAAAACCTAGTCACAGTAAATCTAAACTGACAAAACTGGGGTCCTCTGCCCTCCTCTGGCCCACCAACTGCAGTAGTGAGTAGAAATGTCCATTTCACACTGGTTTTCTGACTACCTCTGCTAAAAATAGCCTAAAAAACCCACGTTACCTACACTATTTTCAATCCACCAAAATCTCCCCATGAAGTAGCAGAGTATTTTCCTGTGGTTTTAAAAGGCTGAAGTGATTTCAGCAAAAAGAAACATGATTTTGCAATGACCTTACTAGGCTGTTAGCAAGTTCCTCATTAACCTGCTAAAACGCCTCTTGCTGAACAAACATTTCTTTATGCGTTAGACCTTATCCCCATTTACCCACAACTCTTCCAGCACTGTATAAATGAACACATTAGAATAGATAAATAGATGCTGAAGGACTATTTCCCTTCAGCCTGAGCACAAAGGAAGTTAGTACCCCAAAAGCCCAACCTTCCCCCTCCCCTCAAAAAGACCAAAACGAATTCAAACCAAAACACATTAAAATGATGAAAGAAAGAAATGGCTGTTTGTAAATACCTTACTTCCAAAGTCTACTTTCGATTGCAGTTTTTATTGCTCCAGATAAAAAGGTAAGATTTGCCTGTGAGGGTCTGCCCTGAGAAAGCAGTATTTCTGCTTTACCTCCTCTCCTGACAGATGTGTTTGGGGGTTTCCTTGCTGATAAAGTTGAGGTCGCTGCTGCTTGGAGCAGACGGGCAAGCAGCAATCTATCATGGACTCTCAGAAGTGAACTGGCTGATAAAGAACAGCCCCTAATCTCCAGAAAATGAGTGCACTCAAGACACAAAGGGTTTATAATCACAGTTTGGCACCATATTCCTTTTTTTGCTTTAAACACAGCAGAGCACAATGTATTGATTATCTGTTACAGAAATAGAATTGTAAATACAGTGCATTCTTCCCTGTCCCTGCACCATAACATCTGCAGCTCTGAAGAAAAACCCTTTTGAGTTGAATCTTTGACGAATGGTTTTTTTTTAATAATCTTTCAGGCTTCAGAAATATTACATAAATATAAAACAAGAAGAGAAGAATGACACAGCAAAGAGAATAAGTACAGTAAATTGATCATGTTTCCTTGTCAGTTTAAGCTACTAAGTGCAGTGTTATAAAAGAAAGCTCTCTGCTTAATGCACCAAAAGCCTACCATACAAAATTTGTTTCAGTCCTCTTTGCTTCCTGCTCTTTCCTGCCCCCTTTCCCTCACCTCAAATGACTGTCATTCTCACACTAAGGAGTCTTACCTCCTCATGTTCTTTTAAATATTCCTGCTTCTGCGCTTGGACCAAATAAGCAAAAGATTTTGCTTCCATTTCTTGATCTAAGGTAGCTCAAGAACCAAGCATCTTCTGAGGACAGCTCTATCTCTTCCATCTTCCATCTCGACTCAGACCTTTCATTAGTCCTTCACTCTCTGTAACCTGGGCTTCCTGCCAAGATCTGAGTTCTGCTCCTCCTCTTGTACAGCTCAAAGAATAAATGTTCCTACCACTACCTGACTATTTTACAACTAGATCCATCACAGCTATTCATATTATCCTCAGTCCTTTATGCTGCCCGCTCTCTATAATATTTTACGCACCCATTCCCTTAGTGCAGCTCTACAATTTCTGGCATTTATAGAGGACCTCTGTCCAATCCTTCTTGTAGGAAAAAAAATGGTATGCATTCATTTCAACCTCATGATCTTCCTGCTGTTACTTTCTTATTTCTCACCTGATCTCCCCCATGATGCTAACAAAACCCAAGCCAAATCTTCCTCCCCTTTCCTCACATGACCCACCCTTTCCAGGGCTTTTTCAAAACATTTATCTACTGAAGCTGATCAGTTCAATCGCGGGGCACTTCCATTTCCATCCATTTCTGTTTGTCCTTTCTCTCTACCTGCAACTTTTTGACCTCAAGGGAGCACCTTCCATTCCTCACTTACAGAAGATAATTGAGTTGTTGGAAGTTACTGAACTAGAAAAGAAGTTATACTGTGCCAGGCTGATTATCACACATGCTTATTGAACAAGGGGCTCTCATTTTTAGTTTCTCTTGCTTCTTTATGTTGTCCGCCTTAAGACATTCTCCCCCAAAATTGTCTTGCTTATTGCTCTAGTCACACCATCAGCTGGTAACTTTACTTGGTTTGCCATCACAAGAACTTATGAGTGCTGAAACAATGGTAGTTTCTGAAGTAAGAACACTGCCATGAGAGACTAAAACCATAGACAGATGGTCCTTCACCATTTTCTTTGGCTTCTGTGTGGCCAGGGTAGGTGCCTGCACCTCTTGCTGTGATATAAAGTGTGGCTTACCACACCATACCTCTTGGTGTGGTATAAACTGAAAGAACTTAGAGTGGTGGTGGAGCTAATATTTCCACTTATGCCAAGCATAAGTATAAACTGGGAGAGGAGTGGCTGGTGAGAGGCTCTGCAGAAAGAGACCTTGGGGTGCTGGTCGCAGCAGGATCAATAGGAATTAGTAGTGAGCCCTGGCAGCCCAGAGGGCATACTGCACCCTGGGGTGCATCACATACAGCATCACCAGCCACTCAAAAGAGGTGATTGTCCTACTGTACTCAGTGCTGGTGGGACCTCACCTTGAGTGCTGTGTGCAGTGCTGGGCCCCACAGTTTAATGATGTGAAGGTCCCAAATGTGTCCAGAGGAGGACAACAGAACTGGTGAATGGGCTGGAGGGAATGTCCTGTGAGGAGTGGCTGAGGACTTTGGGCTTGTCCAGCTTGGGGAAAAGGAAGCTGAGGGAGACCTCATTGCTTTCTACAGGTTCTTGAGGAGGGGAAGTGGAGAGGGAGGTGATGATCTCTTTTCTCTGGTAATCCAGTCACAGAACATGTGGGAATGGTTCAAAGATGCACTAGGGAAAGTTTAGTCTGGACATTAGGAAGCATTTATTACCAAGAAGGTGGTCAAACACTGGAATAGGCTTCCTGGAGAGCTGGTCGATCATTGTAGGTCCCTTCTAACTGAAATAGTCTATTCTAAAATTGCCATAAAGGATTAGTTTCTCTGCTAAGACTCTTAGTGATGAAAAGATATGTGAATCAGAGGAGAGGGATAGAGCAAAGCACACAAGATTGTACAGTTTGAAGATACATGGCTGAGGATCCTGCCGTTAGAAGACATAGTACTGTATCTCCTAGCTCCTGCAGTTTGTTTTGTTCTGCTGACAGTGGCTGCAACTTTAGCAGAGAAGCCCACAAACAAGCCACAGTACAGCCAATGGCTAAAGTGAGTCAGGCTGAATTTAATGTAAGTGCCTCTGAAGCTCACTATGCATCAGTTGCTTTGAAACCTAGATCTTTTCTGGGGTTTGGGTTGGGTCTCTTTTTAGGAGAGAAAGAAGTTCTCTGAGTTGAGATGAAAACATGTTTTTCAAAAGAAAGCGAGAGATGACTTAGAAGCAGAGAGTTGAATGCTAGCAAGTGACCCTGTTGTTGCTGTTCAAAACACATCACGCAGTTGTTCTTCATACTGGTTTATCCAGTCTGAGGTTTCATGGCTTTCTGCACCTTAGGCCACGTATCTACTGCAGTTCTCTGAAGCTGTAATTATTTTGCCTTGTGCCTGCAGGGCACAACTGAGTACGAAAGGGCCAGGCCTGAAAGCAAAGGAAGAAGCAAATCTCAGTTTAGCAAATACAAACAATTTCTGAAAACTTTTTTTCCTTTTTTTTTTTTTTTATGTAGACCTGTGAATGTTTTGTAGGTGTAAAAACAGTGAAAACTTAGGCAACAGCTTCATCCGCTCTCCTGTGGTATGGAGCTTTAACTGACAGCAAAACAAAAAAGGCTCATGGGGGACACAAACGGTATTTTGTAACAGAAAAACATCCTGGAAGTGAGTGAGGAAGCAATGTCAGAGACTAAAATTACCATCTATTAGGCATTTGATATAGATGTGCTGGAGGCAGGCAGGTAGTGGGTGCCTTCCTGCATTTCCATTTCATTCAACATACATTTCCTTGGGAGTATTTTTTTAATTTTGAACTGATGCTATATTCTATTGCCAAGTTGTTTTTCTTTTGAAGACAGATAGGTTACACAAGCTGGTGCCAAGAATCTGTCAAGCCAGCCTGCAGCATACCATTTTATAGATAAAACAAAGGCAAAAAAAAATCAGGTCATTCTGTTTAATTTTTTGAGCAGTCTGGTTTTGGTGGTTGCAGCTCATAGGAAACCCAGTAAAAATACACTCCTGAGAGCTTTGAAGCGTTGTGTCTCCAGCAATACATCCTCTTGGCAAGAAGACCTTAATGTTTTCACATTTGGGATTTGGTGCACACTGAAAAGCCAGGGTGTTAACTGAAACAAGTATATCAGAGTTCTAGGGCACTGGGGCAAGCAGAAGGCGGCTGTGACGTTTAGGTACGGGCACAGTGAAGAACGAGCCTGGCTTAAGGCATTTGCTTTTCTCTCTGTACCGTGGAAGGTGTGGAAGAGTAAGTACACTGTGTACTAATGCCTTGGCTCTTGGTGAACCCTGACTAAATGACTAAAAGAAAACCCTCTGTGAGCATGTGCTTGTGAAGGCACACAGGGATTTCTCTGTGTGTGTGTATGCATGCACACACTTCATCACAGATAAACTCATTTGTCAGGTTGGTGGCCAAATTAAAGCAATTTTTTTAAAAAACTAAATAAATTGAACTGAAAGATATTCATTGTAATGTCAGCCTAAAGCTAAAGTCTTTCTAACAACTAATAACAGTCTAACAGCTCTTCTCTGCCAAGGGACAGTAGAAAATACTTGGGAGAGTGTATAAAGGAAAAGTATAAAGGGTGTGTATAAAGTACTACTTCTCCCAGTGGACATTCCCAATTTAGCAGTCTGTTGTTCAGGGACTTCCTAAGCCAGATATGGCATCTGTGTAATAGCTCTTCCTGGACCTATCTCCTGTGAATCTGATTAGGTTCTCTTTGAACCTGTTTTTACTTTTGGTTTTCCCAAGATCCTGTGGCAATTTAATTACACATTGTGTGAAGAAATGCTTCCTTTTGATAGATGTAAATCTTTAGACTTCTAAGCCATGCAACTGTCTGCCTTCCTCCTCACAGTTCTTGCACTCTCAGAAATGCTGAAACATCACCTAGTTGGTATTTCATAGGTCTCTCATATCTCTCCTCAGCTACCTGTTTTCTCAATGAAGAAATGTCTTTCATTCTGTGGAAGCTGTACCATATCTCCAATGATCCTTGTCCTCACTTTTGAACTTTTCCTGCTGTATCAATGCGTAGCAAAATGCTTTGCACTGCTTACCAAAGGATAAATATTGCCAAGCTGAAGAGTTCTTGCTCATTTTTTTCAGTTTGCTGGTGCATATCATGCGAAACTACAGGTGGATTTTCCATCCTTTAACAACACCTGTTTCAAAAGAATTGCAAGCATCAGGCACTACTGAAAATGTTTGCATTCTAGGCCATTATAAAAAATATGCATACAGTCTATTATTAACATTTTCTAGGGGTCGATGTGACTGAAAAGTTAATTTAAGCTTTCTTCTGTGTAGGAATTGGCCATTTCTTTTTTTAATTGGATAATCCTTCTTAACTCTTGGTTTGCTTTGCTCCTTTCAAAGCCCCAGATCAACAGCCACTAACTTCCTCTATCAGCATGACCTAGTACAGTCCTTCTTGAAGTCAGTGGCACTCCTCCTGAGGTATCTAGGTGCATCAAGTATATAGGACATGAAATTCTCCCTCAGCATCCTTCCATCTGCTCACTCCCCAGCTGCAGACTAAATACAGCTGATGAAGTTTTGCTGTTAGTTGCACTTATCTAATCAGCTATTGCTCTTCAGTGGAAGGTGGAATATAAATGGAGTGAAATGGTGCCCAGCACCCAGCTCCACTGTCTCCTCAGCATTTTCCATGCTTCTTGAGCTTAAACTAAAAATAGAACTGGTAAAAGCAAAACAGCCAAAATATCAGAGGGAAATAAGTCATACTACTGGTTTCAAGAGTAAATGTGAGATAGTGAACAAATTAGACGTGAACTACCTGCTGCATGAGTGCACAGGCATCCTGGATTACTAAGAAGGAGTGGGAATCTGTCCCTGTTCAGTTGAAAACTATGTTAATTCTGAAGCCTAAATATTACTAATGTAAGTAACATCTATGTTAATTACTTTACAATTCTATCTTCTATCATGGGGCAAGACAAATGTCTGATTTGCTTTGTTTTCCTGTGTTCCTCAGTGCATCAGTTTCTAGAGTTACCTCAACTCCGTGATTATTTGCCTGCATATTTCCCACTCATTCCCTCCACAATTTACTGCTTGTTGTATCTGCTCACTACCACTCCCTGCAACAGCATGAGATGTGTCTTACTCCTTACGCTTCCCTCTGCTCCTTCCCCATCAGCCTCTTCACCTCAGATGCCTAGGACCGCACAATTTGGAGTGTGTTTACATAAAGAACACCCACTCAGACCCAAAGCCCCAAACCTCTTCTCTCCCCCGCTTTTGCCTTTACCCTCGAGGTTTACTCTCTGCCCTCAGAGGATCTAACATAGGGAAACTATGCAAGGTGAAAGGAAGCTACCCTCAGGGTGGCAGCCATCCCAATGACGGCAACACAGGCAGTGACTGCGAATGATATCTTTGGTGTAAAAAAGAATATTGTTTTGAAACAAGGTTGAATGTGAAAAACAAAATGCCTGAACACTGGGTATGGGCACTGAAACTGTGAGAGATGCAGGGGTATTAGCAGGTATGTAATTATGAAGAGCAGTTATGAAGAAGCAATACGAAATGCTTATCTAGGTTAAAAATACTTCTTTATAAATGGAATGTATAGCATTTTGTAGATAGTGGACTCATTAGTATTACTATCTTATCAGTCTCACATGTATGATTTTTGAATGTGACTTGTGAGTTTGGGTGTGTAACTTCAAAGGGGTGTAAGTTTTACAAGTTGAAAGATAAGCCACTTCTTAAAATTAGGCCCCTTTAACTTCATCAATCATTAACCTAAAATACTGAGCTACTGACACCATTAGCTGTCTCTTGGGCTAGCCTCTGGTTTTGTTAAGCCACACAATAATTAAGGGTACTTCCTTCAATAAACAGTAAGCCTGCATGGAAAAAAAGGGAGGCTTGCTTGTTGACTTGTAATGAGAAAAGAAGTTTATGCTGATATTTCAAGAAAAAGCACCCCAGTATGACTGCCAGTCTTAGGAGGAGTGGCAGAATCTCAGAAAGTCTTTTCTTACTGAGTTACCTAGAAAAAGCTTTCTAAACATTTTATGTTTGTGGTCTCCAAAGCTTTCGCAGGTTTACACGATCTAATAGTGTAACAACAGCTGTGCAAGCAGACCTGGATTTCCATGAGAACTTTGAAATAATCGACCCTCAAGAGGACAATACGTGTTCTGGACAAATATCAAGACAATTTTCCCGAGATGCAAGCACCTCCACCGTTAGCATACAAGGGTCAGGAAACCATTACCATGCATGTGCAGTGGATGATGACTTTGATACAGATTTTGACCCATCAATTTTACCTCCTCCTGACCCCTGGATTGACTCTATTACTGAAGATCACCTGGAAGCTGTTCAAAGGTCAGTGTGCCCACGAGACGGCCACTGGTTTCTGAAGCTACTACAGGCAGAGAGAGATCGTATGGAGGGCTGGTGCCAACAGATGGAGAGAGAAGAACGGGAAAACAACTTACCTGAGGACAGTAAGTAACTATGTACAATAATATTGCAACTACAAAGAAGTATTTAATATAGGTCAAATTTACTCCAGTGGATTCTGTATCATGCCCTTTCTTATTTAGCTAATGAAGCTATGGAAGTGATTCTCAAAAGGACTATATGTATGTATATAATAATCCTCATTAAAGTTGACAGGGAATGCAAACGTTCGGCACTTCCGAAGCTGCAGAGGTATTAGCTTTTGGGATTGCGTAGTTCAAGAGCTAATTAGGAGAGCATGGTTAGGGATCTTGTAGTATTAATGTTTCTTAACTCTTTCATTTGAAATCTCTTTTCATAACCTCAGAATATAATTGAACAGACACTAGTTCCTTTTCATTAAATTCATATTTTTAGTTGCCTTCTTAGATGGCGATTGGCAGCAGGGTATTCAAGATGCTTCTCCCAGCTGAAAGAGATTTCAGTGGGGCTTCCAAATTGTTCGCCCTCTCTTCTTCTCTCCAGCCTCCAATCATCTCCCTTGCAGTTCTCATTCCTCTTTGATCTTCCTGGTAAAAGAAGCTTTCCATATTCTGTGATAAAAACCACACACATGCAAACTACATCTCAGCTGTCACCACTGCCAGAATTATTACCCCACCTGTAAGGTAATGGAAATGTATAGTAAGGCTTCATTAGGAAGAAGGGTTTGGTCTTATTCATTCAATCTACTTAGGGAAGAAAAGCTAAACACATGCCTCCCTGACCAGAATTTAGTTCCCCAGGTTGTGCTTTTTCCTTCTTTTTAAAAATGGAGGTCAGTCAGTGGTAACTTCACCAGACTGCCACAGCTTCTCAAATATGATAGATAGTGGCTTAGCCACTTCATTTCCCCCTTTCCCTCAGGACCCATGGATGCATCTCTTCAGGCCCCATGGACTTGTGACCTTCAGCTTCCTTAGATGTTCTCGACCTTTACCCTCTACAGAAGGCAGTTAGTTCTTCATTCTCCCAGTCCCTGCCTTTGCCTTCTGTGCCTTGGGCAGCATGGCTGGAGCACTTGCTGGTGAAGACCAAATCAAAAAAGTCATTGAATACCTCAGCCTTTTCCATATCCAAGGTAATCAGGTCTCCCATTTCCTTCCAGAGAAGGGTCCACATTTTCCTGTCTTCCTTTTATCACCAATGTATCTACAAAAACTTTGCTTGTTTCCCTTGACATCCCTGGCTGGATTTAATTCTCCCAGGGCTTTAGTTTTCCTAATCTGGTTGCTCTGACAATTTCTCTATTCCTCCTGGGCTACCTCTCCTTACTTCTACCCTCTGTAGGCTTCCTTTTTGTGTTTGAATTTGTACAGGAGCTCCTTATTTGCCTGTGCAGGCCCCCTGGCATTTTTGCCTGGCTTCCTCACTGTTGGGGTGCATTGCTCTGATGTGAAGGTTTTGATTTATGGAAGAAAAAGAAATAACACTGGCAAAATTGATATTTTTTAAAATACTTAGAAATGCATAAGCTGTTTCTGATGGAACTTTCCATTCAAGCCAATGAAATAAATAACCATAGAGAAGTTTGATCTAGATAGATACTATTGTAAGCAACTGGAAATTGACATCTAATGGAAAGTACGAGAGAACATCGAGGTATATTAAGGTTTTCTATTACTACAAAATTTCTGTTATATAACAGGCTAACAGTTTCTTCCGAGGCAATAATACAGAAGGGTAGGCCCTCAAAGCAAATCCAGATTCCCCAAGTTTTAGAGTATTTGAACCTCATTTTTAATTTACATCAGTACATTCAAAAATCTCTTTGAACATGTATCAGAACAGAAATGCTTTCTGTTGTTAGTATGCAAGAAATAAGCTTCATGAAGTAAGAGATTTTAGTCTGAAAAACAAGTGTGAACACATAACAAATAATAGGAAGCATGCAACATTTGTAAGTCCAATCAACAAAGCCCACTTACTTTCTTTTTCCCACAACAACTTAGACTGGATATAAGGAAGACATTTTCTATGATGAGGGTGGTGAGATCCTGGGAGAGGCTGCCCAGAGAAGTTGTGTCTGCCCCATCCCTGGCAGTGTTCAAGGCCAGGTTGAATGGGGCTTTGAGCAACCTGGTCTAGTGGAAGGTGTCCCTGCCCACGGCAGGGGGTTGGAACTAAACCATTCTGAGAGTCTGTGATTCTATGAGCTCATAATAATGGGAAAAAAAACTACAAATATTTTATTTGTACACCAAAGTAGTTGTTCACTTTGGGAAAAAACATGAAGTGAATTTTCACAAGGCTGATACATACCTAAAGCGTACAGAATTTTCTGTCAGTGTCTTGGTGTCTTTGAGATACGATAGTTTTAAAGGGCCCTTCTTTTGAGCAGTTTGTGGGAGAAGTCAGTTATGGGAAAGATAAATGAGTGGTTCAGCAGGCTATTCCAAATGCCTCCTTACAGCACACACGGCATGTGTCCTTTGGGATATTCCTCCTCTTCATTTTTCTGACTGGCACTTTTTGTGATCACTGGCAATGGGAAGGGGGAAGGAGTCACCCGGATTTTGTGGTCAGCAGTGAGATACTGATTTTGGTGTGATGACACCAGCCACTCCAGCATGTGGCAGCTGCCTCCCATAGAAGCTGCACGGGGCTTTCTGCTGCTGCTCAGCACGCCCCACTCTACCTGGTGCCAAGGAAAAGCATATGGCCAGAGCTGCTCTCCCTACTCAGCAGTGCCCAAAACAAAAGCCTGGCTGTTACAAATCCTGCCCCAAAATATGTCTGTTTTAGTATGCTTATAAACTTCAAAGAGAAGGAGGAAAAGCGTAGACAAGGTGTGTTCTCTTTGGTTTTCCTAACAAAATACAACCAGAGCAGGGAACTCATCCTTTGTTTTCAACCTGACATCCCCAGCGTGTGTTTGGCCAGATAACAAAATAACGAGGACGTGTGATGAGCGAGGTTTTCTCGATGCCATGGCAGCTGACAGAGGGCTCATCCCCCCGGCGCTCCGCGAAAAATGATCTGTGCTTCCTCCAGACAATGCGGCCCTTGTGCGGAACAGCTGTCTCGAGGAGACGGCTCGCTGCTGTTTGACAGTAGCTTGTATGTTACAGAGATACGTTGGGTATTATCTAGCTGGGAATGAATCTACCAGATGGGATTGAATGTTTCTAGCTGGGAAATGGAGTCTGCTGCTGTGTATAAAAACAAGATGTGGTTCAGTGGCTGCACGATGAAATGCCAATATATAGAGAAATGTGGCTCCCCTTCAGCCATGAATTATGTATTGTATAATATATTCTGGTTTTATCTGAAATCATTTTTGGATAGAGCTGTGGAGTGTGTAACAGGCAAATGAACACCACTCACACTTTAAGGTAGGATACTTGAAATCGTTTCCATGTATTTTGCTGTTACCAGGACATTGGCTACAAACTGTAGGGCTCTCATAAATATTCTTTAAGAATATTTATGTATTTATATATTTATATATATTAAAAAAAATACCTTAGATATATGAGGCTGAATCCCTTGTGACAAATGATTGACACTTTGGATCAGGCCTCAACTGTAATCAGTTGTTTACCTTCTTTTGTTTTCTCTTACCTCTTGCCTCAAACTTGCAAAATTTCAGAGTCAGAGCTTCATGACTGGTGGTGACTTTTGGCTCAGGACTCTGGAGTAACCATTTACACACAGAATTAGCAGCAACAGGCCTGGCTGCCAGCATACTGATGTTAGTGAGCAGCCTCTAATCATTTTATTTCCCAGTGGCAGTAGACATGGGAACATACACCTATGGCATCAGCCTGGCTTTTGCTAGATTTTTTGCTGTTGTTTTATTTCACATGAAGCATCAACCCTTCTGGAAAAACCAGAGAATTTGATTTCCCCCCTGCTTCAGAAATGTTTCTCTTTCACTGGGGTTGTAATGTGGCTTTGATGTGAAGATAAGCAAACAGTGGGCCTGATTCACCACAAGCCAGGTGTAATGTGGGTTTAGTGGCAAGATAAGTCAAGCCAATCAAGTAAAAAACTAAAATAGAAAACCACGTCTCTGACAAGACATGTCATTATAACTGTCTCGTGTGTATACTACACTCCTCTGGGCTAGTCTGTGAGCAAAGGCTGACCTCAAATGTGAAATAACCTTGCTGCTCAGGACCAGAGTCTCTGCAAATTCAGCCAGGTCTGGCAAATTATGCAATACTTGCACACTTTGTGCTGGTTTAGTGTGTTTTGTTTGTTTCAAAAGAAAACTTAAAGAGTGAAGGCTAAACAAAAAAAAGAAGAAAGGAAAAGATGTAATTTTTGTAATAGTTGTGCGTGGCAAAAGAAAAGGGGACCCATGAGACCACTCTCAGCCACAAGCAAGGAAAACCATTTGCCAAGTCCTCTGCAGGGCTTCCCCAGGCTTCCTGGTCCCTGCCGCTTGGAGGAGTAAGGCATCCTCATCCTGCAGTGGGCTGATGCAGACTTGCAAAGGGACAGTCACCAGACTGACATGTGGCCAGAGTCCTGCTGGAATCCCCCTGGCTACATTCCTCTGGCCGTATGCCCGAGGCATCCTTTTCTTGGTCTGGTTTTCTTTTCTCCCCAGAAGGGACTTCTCCATACACAAGGGTTTCTCCAAGGAAAGTCAGCTCCTGGCTGGAAGCCCTGCCAGTGTCCAAAGGCTAGCAAGGGAAAAAAGAGAAATCCACAAGCAAGGAAACAATCTAGTTAGTGAAAAAAAAAACATGAAGTGTGGTAATAAATGCCAAGTAAGTCAGAGAACACATGGAAACTGCTTTATTCCCAGTGAACAGCATTTACTCATGCAGACAGCCCTATTAATTCCAATGAGATCACTCCTATAAGTACATATATGACTCAAAGCAAGGACTGCTCCTTCAGGCTTTGCTCCATTTGAATGTTTTTTCCTTAATAGTCCAGCTTAAGACCTGAACACTAGTTTTAACTTTGAATTTCCTGGCTTTTGTCATGTTTGGTGTTATTTAAATGTAGGTCTGTCAACATGAATAGGCTAAAATGCTGGTCCATCCTGGCTTGGAAATGGATTGTGACAGCTCTATGGCAGGATTGCTTCATATGCATTGTGCCCAGCCAACATCTGCAACGCAAATGTCAGGCTGTGTCCCTGTAATTTCGGCTATTGTTCCTACCACTTGCTCCTGGGGCAATGAGCAAGTCGCTGGTTTTCTGTTCCCTAGCTTGGGCCCTGCTACCAATCAGCTGCTTGTACATTAAGGACATTTGATAGTCACAGTCCTTAAGTGCCTCCCTCCTCACTTGTTAGACCCTGGAGCCTGTCAAAGTTGAAATGCAAAGAGATTGGTTGGTGTTTAGGGCCAAGTAATGCTGCTGCTTCTCAAAACTTCCATGGCTTCTGTGTGATGACTTTTCATTGCAGGCGATTTTTGTTCTTGTTTTCTTGTATTTTGATATCCTTGTCACACACAATCTTTTTCCAAGATGACAGTATCACCATTTTTTGCTTGTGTTTGCAATTCCTTTTTTGGGTTTTTTTTTTTTTCATTTCTTTTCCCATGAAGACATGGAAGGGGGAGATACACAGAGCTTTACAATCCCAAAGTAAATCCCATGCAGTTCTTAGAACCACAAGAAGCAAGAACTTACTGTTTGAACAGTGCTAATCTAAGTCTGTATTTAAGAACATTTTAAAAGGAGAATGGGTTGGGGAGATGGACACACAAGAAAATCCACTGGTATGTGTCTACCTTGGAATAACATTCTGTGTTCCCTGGTGAAGAACAGTAATAGTGAAGAGGCACTCCACAGTACCTGAGTTATATCAAACTACCTATATGAAATCAGTTTTTCCAGAATAGGCATGTCTATTTCTTAAAAGTCATCACAGGAGAAAACTGGATATGCAAGGAACAGAGGTCAAAGCAAGGAGGGGGGTAAGGAAAAATTCAAACTATCAAAACAAAACACTGCAGTACACACACTTCTCCCCCTGGGGAAGGGGTGACAGCAAAGCATATGATGGATGTTAATAATGTTGCTTAATGCATTACTGGAAGGCATTCAGATCCAACAGTGCTGAGTGTGCTGTATAACCCTGTATGGAATAGAAAGCAGGCATGAATAACATTATATAGGTGTTTAAATCCATTATGATTGTATCTTGATGGGTCGGTATTTTTTGTTGTTGCTTGGTTTTATACATTCTGTTTGCATCCTATTAACTGAACGCATCAATTTGAATGTTTATATGTTTTTCTCCTGATTCTTTTCTGATATGTTTTGACTATTATCTCTGCAATTCCATTTATTTTCTTGGTACTTCAAACATTGCAGGCTTTTCACCTAAGAAAATATCAGTCTATTTTCACTTTTAGGTTTTTTTACTATACCTTGGCCTTTCTCTTTGACATCCAAGGTTTTGACTGAGTAAGCAAAACGAGCACTCTGCCTTGAAACACCAAAGCAATGTGCGTTTGGAAGCAAAACTTAAGGCTATTGATAAGGCTTTGTGCCTTCTGGAGAGATTCCTTTCAGTCTTTTGCATGCTTTGTCTTTTTTTTTTCCCTAACTTCCGTGACAGAGTTGGTTGTTGACGGGTTCCACATTAACAGACCACTTGCTTTTGAGGAGCAAGGAATCAGTGACACTTGACTAGATACAGCCACAGCTACAGCAGAAGTGGCAACAATAGAGAACAGCATCAGCATGCATCCCACAGTCAGCTGAGATGATGGTTTTTAGGCAAATAGCCAGTCGCTAGGCAGCCAAGGACAAGGACTTCCTTTTCCCTCTGCTGAGATCTCTGAATTTTAAGCTCTTCTTCCCTCAAAGAAAGGGGCACATTCCCATCCATCACCAACAAGGTGTATTTACATTCCTTCGTGCTTGGGATGTAATTTCCAGCTTGGGTGGCGCAGGTTTCCAGGACGAGCTCCCCTCATCTTGTTTTTTTGTCCCAAGAAGTTGAGAGACTGTTTCTTCTCTCCTCCTCAAGTCTTGGGAAGCGTCAGAGTGGCCGAGCTCCAGATGAGGCAGCTGTTCCGAAATACACTCAGTGGGAAGAGTTTTCATAACAATGGTAACCACATGAAAGCTCCTGGAGTAGCTCCTCCCACTATTGAAAAGTCCTTTCAGTTGAGTGGTTTGCATATTGGGTTGCATAAATGAGTAGACACACCAAGGGGTCCATTTTCAGCACTGTGCGCACAGAATTAGACACGCAAGCCTTGCTAACAATAATGAGACTTGTGTGCAAAACTCCCTGCGCAATATGCTGAAAATATTCTGCTTGGTGAATCTTCCAGCTCACGGCTGTTTCCTGGCAGTGCTGAGCTGAGTTCTGGGAACAAAATGAAAGTCTGGGCTCTGTGTGTGTTCACAGATCTCTCTTCTATAGTTTCTGGAAAGAAAACGTGTAAAGACTCCTTCTCCCATTTCCCCTTTCTATGTCGGAAGTATAAATGAACTAACTCTGCATCCCACTTTTTCTTCAGCAGCCTTAACAAGCGAACTTGAAGGCTGCTGAAGGAAAAGCTATATGTCTTGAAGGAGCAGAACACAGACTTCATTATATTTGTTACCGTGTGGCTACGCAAGTGAATCCGTGGGAGAATGCATGGTGGCATTATGGGCACAAGCCACAGATATGCACTGTAGCCTGTCACAGGACCCTGAGGCCCTAAAAAAGTTGTCAGAAGGGGCTACAGCATAGTTCTATTTATTTCTTTATTTATCTGTTTATTGATTTTTTTCATTGCGGTAAGTCAAAATACTTAGCAGTATTTTCCCAGTGGAGCTCTGCTACTGTAGTGTTAGGTTTTACACAAAAAGCGACTGCCCAAGGGATGGTACAGAGAATGGCAGTTTAGGACTAATATATCTTTTAGGCTCTGCCAACAATTCACTCACCTTGAGCAGGCCACTTAATCTCTTTGGTTTTCCTGCTTCTCCCTTGCCTGCCTTATATATCCAGAGTGTGAATTTGTCATGGAAAAGTTGCTGTGTTTATCTGAGGGCTAGAACAATGCAAATACCCATGAATAGAAGTGCTAGTGAAAACTGTGGCACAGTGGCTGCCGTTCATGTTTTTCACTAATGAAGTGTCAACATTTTTTAACTAATTTAAATTATTAAGTCAATATTTAAAGAGAGAATTGGGGGATAATAAGTTGTTTCAGCCAAAAGGGAAAATTAATGCTTGAGCCAGATACATCCACAGTGCCAGCCTGTTTATTTAAAGACTGTTCATATAGCAGAGTTGTTTGGTTCTTTTTCCTGAGCACTGAAAGTCTCAACAAACTGGTAGCTACTTTCTTGCTCACAGCATCAATTTTCTTTCAACCAGCAGTCCCAAAAATCACACTCTCTTCTTTCGATTCTCTGTCCTAACACCAGTTGTCTGTCTTTCTGCTCTGTTTCTGCTTTGCTTGCTTCTTTTATCACATATACACACAAATTTACACACACACATACTCCCCCTGGACCAGAACTCAGCAAAAGCTCTAGGGAAATGCAGGTCTCTGAATGCACCAGTTTTGCCACTTGTTTTAAGTAGTGTATTCCCAACTACCCCTTGCAGCAGTAAAACCCCACCATTTCAGTGAGGTTGAATGCAATCAAAACAGTATGAGCTCCTGTTTTATTCAGAGGCATTCACTATGGGCTCTCTTCTGGTTCACTGCAGTCCTTCACAGCGTGCAGTCAGTCCAAAGCCACCATAAGTACCCAGCTGTCTGTACAAAGGAGTCCCCAAACAGCACTGGAGCTGGGCTAGGACTCTTTGACATCTCCTTCCAGGTCACCAGCAAGGACAAGAGGCCAGGATGTGATGGCTCCCTGAAGTATGCCTCAGTATCTGCATTCAAAGGCAGAAGCCGCCTCAAGATTATGCTCACTGGAAAATACTCAGAGGGTGCAACTGAGATTCATTGGTGTGCATTAAAATCACCATTCCCTTTCTGGGGCTCTGACTGAACAACACTCGGCTAAACCTGAAAACAAGGCTGAGTTGCTAAGCAAGGTGGCAGAAATGCTGGTAGATACAGCGTAGAAGGCATCAAGGGGATTGAAAGCTATGTGTCCTTGTTCAGGGAACTGGCTTGTATTCAAAGCCTGGGCCTGGGTCACAGTGATGATGAGAGGTGTCATTTCTGGTGAGCTTTCTATGCAGGTTGCAAAAGCTTTTAGTTAGCCATATTTATACTGCCATGGAAGTGCTCTTTGCTGGTTATAGCTGGTCTCATGGGAGGCATGAGTAAGATGCAGCAGCAGATTAGTATTTTTGCCTACTGCAGATTTGGCCTTAGATTTATCAGCTTCTTTCTAATCCATGAATAAGAGGTAACATACTTTTTGAAAGCCAGAGATGAGTACTGCACAGCTTTCTCCTCTCTTTTTATAGGCTTTCAGTTGCCTGCCGCACAGAAAGCATTGTGACTTACATTTCTTCTCCTCTCAGTTCTAGGGAAAATTCGAACTGCAGTGGGCAGTGCCCAGCTTCTCATGGCCCAGAAATTTTACCAGTTCAGAGAACTTTGCGAAGAAAACCTGGTATGTAAGTTTTCTGCTAGACATTGTATGCCTTTTACTAACCCTAGACTAGACAGATTTTCTGATTAATATGGTAGTTTTTCTTGTAAAGGCCTTGATATGAATTTGGGAGTATCTCTGTGAAACTTAGCAGTGTCAGCATGAGCTTCACAACAGCTTTAGAGCCGTAAGATAGCAACAAGCAAAAAGCAGAGCTGAGGCTGACTTCAGAAGAGTAAGGACGTGTCCCTTGCTCTCTGAGTTCAGTTTGCACGGGCACAGAAATGTTTGGGTAAAAAAACTTAAAGTCTTTCAAGGTGGACCAGAAGTCTCATGAGTGGGGCTTTCCCATGTAATCTGTACTAAACAAGATAGAAATACAAGAAAGTCAACCACTGAACCAAACAAGATAGAAATACAAGAAAGTCAGCCACTGAAAATTGGTACTTCATGTTTCACAACCCCAATAAGTGAAAAAAGAGAGAAATAATTTTCCAGAAGGTTAAAAGGGCAAAGAATTATATTCCTGTTGGTAAATAAAAATACATTTTACACCTTGTATCCAAAGCACTATTCTGCATGTTCCCCTGTGGGCTTTTCACCCTGCAGAAGTTATTCTTGGTTAAACCTTAGGTTCTCAGAATGTAGAAAGGGTATTCACGCATTGATACATCACTCTTTGCACACGCAGCAAATGTACATATGCACAGGTATCAGTCTTTTTTACAAGTGTGAACATGGCAGGGAACCCTTCCTCACGAAAGTGAAGATGAGGCTGGAGATTCATTTCACTGGGGTTAGGATATAACCAGTTGTGCCCAGGAACATCCCTAGGCAGATCCTGCCACAGGAGACCTGCCACATGCCCTTTCCCCATGGTCCACAGGGGGTAACCACTGCCTTCAGTGAGCGGGGATTTGTGGGGGCACAGCAGCTCAACACCCAGCCAGACTCCTTGAAAAACCCCTGCCAGTAAGTAGTGCTCCATATTGCTTCTCTCCCTGTGTCTCACCAATTGCTTGGATCTGCTGAAACTGCTTTGCTAGCAAGATTCCTAACCATTCACACAAATGCTTTACATTAAGGCATACTAAAGCCAATGTGTTTTTCTTTTTTCTATTGCACAGAATCCTAATGCACATCCACGGCCGACCTCCCAGGATTTAGCAGGGTTTTGGGATATGCTGCAGTTGTCCATAGAAAATATTAGTATGAAATTTGATGAACTTCATCAGTTAAAGGCCAATAATTGGAAACAGATGGATCCTCATGACAAGAAGGTAGAACACTGTAGATTTTGTATGCTTCATTTAAAACCCTGCACAAATACTGGACAGATTAAATAGGCCTCTGTGTTACAGCGTTGACGTTTAAAATGTGAAATGAAGCTCATATCAAATTAATTTCATTGTATTAACAATGTTTACATAATAATCATCTGGGATATTATCTGTAATATGTTTCAGGCATATTTTTAAACCAAATCTGTCTTTGTGAATCGGATAATGGGAATGTGGTACTTTGTTAAGCTTTACATTTAATCATATTAGACGATCAATCGTTGGAAGGAACTGCCTTATATATTTATTCTTAAAATTAAATAAATCACATTTACGGTCCATATTATTGCATATAGTAAGAGTTCTAGGTTGTGTTACTGAAAAAAATAGGAAAGCACTGTAACCATCACTGACTTTGGTAACCAGATTGCAAACAAAGCAATATCAAAAATATGCCTTCCAAAATGTCACATGAAAGAGCTACTTTTTTTTTTTTTTTTTGTCCATTTGTTTCATTTTTCAGTTTATTTTGGTTTGGTTGTTTTTTTTTAATAAACAGGTTCACTTTGCTGGCAGTGTTGTTTACCCAAAGTAGCATAAAAATCATCTGGAGTTTTGGTCTTCTTTTACTTTTTTTAAATGTAGTTGTCTTCTGTCACCATGAAAAACTACCATTTCCAACTGTAAGCCCCATTTCACTTTCCATTCTCATTTGGCACCATTGCCTTATTTTTCCTCTCACTATCTGTATCAAGACAAACAGCACTTGGGTGAGCCAAAATACACAAATGTTTCAAAAAAATCCTTAAAAGCCAGACCCATTCCTAGAGGAATCAACAGTCTAATGTCGCACTCCTATAGGTATGTAATTTGATGGCTGAATTTCCACCATGGCTGCTCTGATAGGAGTGAATACAGCCGACAGGTAGGGTCATCAGAAGGAGGGGGAACGTGGCGTACAGGTACAGTGGCTCAGACAGGAGTCCGGGCTGCCCCAACTGGTGATCAGCTGGCTGCTGATGACCAAAGGGATGTTTTCTTTTGGACAAATAACCTTAATTATATCAAACCCCATTAATCTTGCAGCGGGAAGCTTGCAAAGGCAGTGCTGGTAGCACTCTCCTTCCTCCTCCAATCAAGACTAAATAGTCATTCCTGACTTAGGAGCACATGCATACCTAGTGTGTTTTGTAGGGGAATGAATGGGAATGTGTTTTCCTAGCCCAAGGTACTGAAGGCAAGTCATTTTCTTATCTTCTTTTTTTTTTTTCCAGTTTCTATAAAAAAAAGGAAGTTAATACCGTCAGACATGCATGCACAGAAACACTGGTATCTGGTCTTTTATTAACTTTTACAGTAAAGCGGGTAGGCCGAGTGTTTGCAATTGCAGTGAGAAATGAGAGCTTTCCTTAAAAAAAAAAAAAAACAAAAACAACAAACCCATGCCTTTTCTTTGCTTCTGAAAAAAACACTTCAAAGAGTTTCCAACAAAAAGAAGACTATAATGGGTTAAAGGAAGTTAAGTAGCACTGAAGAAAGGGACCTACAGTAGGAAGGTAAAAGATTTTAACGAATTGCACTGTGTTCCTGTTTCAACAGCATTTGTCTATGATTTTTAGATGAAACAGATCATCTATCTTAAAAAGGATTAAAAAAAAAGAAAGAAGAAAACACTTTCTGTGGAATTGATATTTGCAGTTGCCTTTGGCCTTTGCCACTGGTCCCTTTTTAAGCAGCACAGATTAATCCTTGGATGGAGAGAAAAAGCGAAGTATGAATAAGTGTAACTAAGCACCTTTATATTTCGAGCCATGGAAGCTGTGAGCAGCATGAGAGAAAACGAAAGGGCAGAATGGGACCTTTGTAGTGCGATAAAATCCCTTCGCTCAGAGACCATGTTCACAGTTGGAAGGGGATGTAACTTAAAAGACAATCTAATTAACTTGACAAAGTCTTTGTGGCCGCCTGAAATTCAGACCTGAATACACTTTTCTTTTTTGGGAGAGATCCTTCTCTGAGGGGGGTTTTTTGTTGGGTTTTTGTGTGTGTGTGTACATGCACCAGGATACGCATAAAAGTCCTCCTTGTTGATCGCATATCTGGAGCTAGCTGCCACCGTGATGATTAATGCATGTTCTCTTAATGGTTCTTAAGCTTTTCCTACCAATTTTTTTTTTCTGTTTCTATCTGACTGTAGCTTGTCATGTCTATTTAGCAGGAGGCTAGAGTTTGCACAGTGAGCCCCAAAGTGCGGGATTTTTGAGCAGTCATGAAGCCACTACAAAATATATACATAAATATATGGTGTTTCTTAACAGCACTTACTCCGATGCACCAGCTGCAGGCAGCTAGTTCCCATCTGCATTTGGGAACACCAAATCCACGGTATCTCCGTGTTGCAAGAGCACCTGGTGTGTTATGCACGTATAGAAGAGGGTGGCTCAGGAGTTGGGGCTCTCCAGAGCTCCTCTGCTGAGAGTGGCGCTCGCTCCCCAGCCGCTCACGACTGTGCTGGTGGCGGGAGGCCGCGTCTGATGCTCTCCTTTCTAGCCCCTGGCACCAGGAGGAGACGCCTGGATCCCCCCTGCCCCGGGGAGCCGCACTAAGCGGTTAGCGGTGGGGGCCTCGGCCCCGAGGAGAAGTAGCCCTTTGCCCTTGCCCTGTGTTTATGAAACCTTGAGCACAAAAGCCAGTTCACTGAAGACAGAAAGTCAGATAAGAGCTAACAGACCTTAGGTAAAATGTGTGTTCTAACTACTGACATATCCTAGTTTTTCCCACCTTTCCCTGAGAAGCTGTATAATGCCATTAACCTTCTGCTTTGATCAGGAGAGAAGGGTCCCTCCTCCAGTGCCAAAGAAGCCATCGAAAGGTCAGGTGCCACTCATACGAGAACGCTCTCTGGAAAGCTCGCAGCGTCAAGAGGCCCGGAAACGGCTGATGGCTGCCAAGCGCGCTGCATCGGTCCGCCAGAACTCAGCTACCGAGAGCGCCGAAAGCATTGAGATATACATCCCTGAAGCCCAGACCAGGCTATGAAGGGATCCAACCAGGAGGACTCTCTCTGGCAAGACAAGCCTCATGTATAATCTGCCCCTCTAGGCTCCTGCTCAAGGTCACCACAAAGTATTTGTACCTCCTCCTCTCTCTCTCTCGCTCTCTGCCCTCTCCTCTCCCCCTCCCCTCTCTCTATATACAGCCACCCCGATGCTCCCAGTGAACTCCACTGCCGTGGCGTAGTTGTCGGTCCTCCAAGAGATGTCCTCTAATCACCCTTGCTTTCTGAAGGTTCGCCCATGCCATCACGATGCTTTGTCACATGTACTGATGCTGCCAGTTTGCCTCATGTAAACGAGTACAATCCGTCTTTATTTTTTAGTTTCTGTTTGAAACAAATAAACGCAGCGCTCAGACTTCCACACGCCCGCCACCTGTACAGTAGATGCTCCGTTTAACTTACTCATGATCTTTAGTTGACCTAAAGCTAGTCTGTTACCCAGTGTACAGCAATATCAAACTGTAGGGGACTTTGGAAATATCAGTCATGCAGGGTGATCCTTTTGGACTCTGCCGTCTTCCTCACAAAAGATGAACGGAACTAAGACTCGGATTCCCTTCTTTTTATTACTGTTTTTTTAAAAGCAGATGGCGCACTTTAAACCTCTGAATCACACCTTCTCACCTGAATTTAAGGAGTCACATACGGGGAGGGGGCTGGGGTGGGCATAGGGAAGTGGGGGGGAAAATAAAACAGAGCTCTGCAAGGTGAAAAAGTGAAAGTATATCCCGCAGGTGAGATGGCGAGGGATAGAAAAGTTCCTGTGGAAAGATACCTGCACACTCACAGCTGCACAAACTGCCTCATTTTTATTTCATCAATCACTACTTAAACATTTCAATCAGCAGAAGATTGTAAATTCGATCTTCCAGGGAAATAATCTATTTTGAAAGGCAATAAAAGAGTGAAAAGGAAGGAGATAAGAAGCAATGACAGTTGAAGAGATAATATAAAAGAAGGATTTTCTTGTCCAAGTATTAAGAATTTTTAAAATTGTACTGTATTGTCAATTCCTCTTGTATTGTATTGTATGGATTATATTGGTTAAAAAAAAAAAAAAAAAAGAAAAAAAGAAGTTTGGTTTTGTTGATGTCTTAATCTCGGTGGGACCATCCGCTCTCACACGTCCATGCAGCCACACACAGACACCTGTAGACGAATTGCTGTACATGGAGCCTCTGATGCTTTTCCAGACCAGGCTTGCTTTGCTCTATCCACAGCCAGTTGTATGCTACAGTTCAGACTGCTTATCACCAAACAGTCCATATCTAGGAGTAAATTTCTCACTCAGACTCCTGTATAAAATACCCATTTGAACAAGAACAGTATAAAATACCCATTTGAACAAGAACAATAAAGTATTTTTCACAAGTTATGGGATCAATATGAACTTAATTTTTTTCACAACAAGCCTTCCTCCCAATGGCTTCTGCCATTGTTTTGCAATCACGAAAAATATGCATCCCAAGTAGCTCATTAATAGTGGGGGTAACTGGCAGACAATAGGGCTGGAGAGGAGCCTGAGAGGTCAGCCCCCTGCATGTCTGTTCCCCCAAGTCACCCTGGCTGAGGCAGGAGCTTGTCCTCCAGCTCCTCTGATGTGGAGCGGTGCTGACCATGACGCTACCAGGATCTCTTGTGCCAACATTAGGCAAGTTATGTCAGGCATGTTGCTGAAAGCAAGTTGTGTGCGTGCATGTGAGTGTGAGTTTGAGTGTGTGCGTGCATATGTGTGCCTAGCTGGCACGTGCTGCTGAAAGCAGAATTACTGTGATCTGGTTTGGATGACAGGGCTGGTCCAGGGCAGATGAACACTGTGTGGCCCCTGGTGTTGCGTGCAGCCCCATGGTGATGCTTTTTGGACCTCTCCACTGGTCCCTGTGAGGTTTTTGCCCCAGCTGCCAGGGCAGGGCTACATGGGAGAGGAAGGCAGGCTGCTTTCCATTCCTGATGGGAACAGGCAGAGGGACAAGCCCCCATGGAGGCGCACAGGGTGCCAGCACTGTCTGTCTGTGCCCATTAACTGTTGTACAGATGATCCGACCCATGAAAAATCCCACTGCACGGGGTGTTGTAATTCTGCAGCTTGCACTTAAAAAGCATTCAAAATCATCATCAAAAACTTAAGGTCTTGCTAAAACTATCCATTGAGATCATGGCAGACAGCTTCTTTTCCTACAACATCACAGCCAGGTGCTAATTTAATTTTATTCAAGAAAATAAGAGAGGTAATAGGTTCTGGCACCAAGTATTTTCATGAGAGCATATTAAAACCACTAGAGAATTTGCTACCTCTCAAAGCCATTGATATCTGAGCTATGTCTTTATAAACAGGGCACAAATATTTACTGCTGTGGTTTACAAGATAAGGGCTAATAATTTAATATATAAATGACTTTTAACTAGAGTAATCAGAAATCCAGTGTAACCCTAGAGTGCTTTGTGTTACAGGAGCTTCAAATGGTTTGACCCTCTAGGTGTTTGAATAGCAGTGTATTTGCTAGTTTTGAAACACTGCGTTTAACTTTTAGCAGCAATGAAACATCACCGTGTTTGCAGTATGTAATAGTGCCAACTGCCACTTTTGAGCATATATAGTCATAGGAAGTATTAACTATTTGGAACTCATTTGTACTGAAATATTCAAAGCAGTATCCAGGTGAGAGTCCACATTCACAACTGTGTTGCAGACTTAACTTAGTTTTGTGAACGTTTTATGAAAGATGAGTTAAGACTCTGGTTGACAAGTGGCTACAGAAATTTATATCCAGCAAGTTCCCACCTAAAAATGCAGAAAAGCAAAGACTATCTAGTCCTGTACATTACAAATTACTGTATTTGTATGTCACAGAATATTTTTCATGTCTAATTTAAATGGATTTATTCTTAGCAGGATACTTGTTAGTTCATTTGGCACTGGAGAGGTTATTATAATGCTTGCTTAGTTTTTTAGCAAAATATTAAAAGTAGAGCCAAGATCAGAAAGTATAAAATAGAATAATTCTGCCCCTAGAATGCCACTAGTTAACCACTTGACTCATTTACTGACTCTAATGCTAGTATATTTGCTCTATCATCTGTTTTAGTATAATTTGTAACTATTTGTTTTTAGTCTAACCTGCCCAGTGTATATTAAAAATGCCTATATTCTGTTTCACTTTGGGACTAAAATATTGCTTTTTTTTTTTCCTTGGGGGAAATTTTACAAAAGGTTGTTTCTGTCTCCTGCTTCAAAAGTTTAAAAAGAAAAAAAAAAAGTATTTATTATATTTTTTGCAGATGTTTCCATAAAATTCTCATAATCTTTTTGTAAAGAAAGATGAAGAAATGGATTAAAGATTTTTAATATTTGAAAAGGTAAATAGAAATAATTTATTTGTAATATATTTCAGTTTATTTATTGGTGTTCCCTTAATGCTTTTATGTGCACTATCACTTTAATTTAAACTATCTTTGTGAATTTATTGGGTTTTTTGTTTGTTTGGGTTTTTTTTTAAGGAAAATGGTCAAATGCATATTTTAAGTAACTGGAATGTAAATCACTGACCTACCTGCATTCCCAAATGTGATTTTAAAAATGTTTTTGATTTGAAACAAAAGACAAATGTGAAAGCCTTTAGATAGAGGAGAGTGGTTTTATGGCTTAATGATTTGGGTTTCCATAGGCTTATCTGTCTGGTTTGTGTGTGGACAGGAAAATGTAAATAGATGAATGTTTCCCATAATGTAAAAAGAGCAAATTAATAAAATAATTAATGCACTGCTTGTAAGAGCTGTGGGTTTTCAATGCAAAATCGCTCTCCCAGAACTGCCAAGGCATTCCATTTGATGTGGTCAAGGATGACAAGCATGACAAGCAGAATGTTCCTCTTAAGCACTTACTGCTTAAGACCGGTCCTGCAAAGTCTCATCTGCAGCGTCCCACTGTGTGCACTGGAAGTGCTCATCTACACAGAGTTACTCACAGGTGTAAATATTGCTATGATCAAGGCCTTGAGCCTTAGCAAAATCTTCAAAGCCACTTCTGCACAGAGCCTGGCCAAACCCTGCTGAAGATGACAGGAGTTACACTGGTGATTTCAAAAGGAGCAGCAAGAAACCCCAGCCTGTTTCTTTTTCCCCTCACTGGTCCACTTCATCTCACGCTTATCTCCAGTGATGGATGAAACATGGGGGGACAAAGAGATCCCTGGCAGAGATAGTTTCCTTCACTTGGAATCCTGCTTCTAGACAGGGTTTTTCATAGTATGTGAAATAATGACAGTCACTAAATACCATAGAAATACATCCTGGGTGATGTTGCTCATGGCCATATGAGCATTTAAACAAGTTCTGGTTCAGTCTATAGAGCCTAATATTTATATCAATAGCATGCCATTGCTGCACCACATACTGTCTGCCCATGCTTTGACCCTCAGCACAGGAAGATCAGAAGGATTTGCCCCAGGGATTTATATGCAGGGAAACTTCTGTTTAAAGGCTTATTTACCACCAAGATGAAGGGATTTCTCCTCATCTGATGGAATTTATGTTCTCGTTGGTCACTGATAAACCGAGGCACCAGGGATAGAAAAAAAAAAAAAAGTACATTTTATTATTTAAAAACCTTTCTGAGGTGGCTGGTATCTTTTCATAATGATAATGGAGCAGAGGGCATAAAATAACAGATATATTTCAAGCTCGTCTCTGGCAAAAGAATGAAGAAATCCAAACCATGACTCATAGTCCTGCCTTTCATGCATGCTTAAGGAAAACTTTATCCCTATTTGTTGTCAGTGTTCCCTTCCAGATCAAATCATGAGCCTTCCCCACAAGCATAGCTTTTTGTTAGTTTGTTTGCCAAAGTCTATTCTCTCCTGCTAGACTTTTTTCTTTTTTCTTTTTTTTTATTGAAGCACACAATAGGCAAATAATACATTTCAACATTCATTTTGAGGCATGCTTGTGTATCAGATCTGTTGAGATTTGGTGCTGACTCTGAGTTGACATTTCTGATAACAATTAATAATATAAATATTGTCTGCTCTGCTGCTGTTGGCATCTGTCATTGTAGTTTTAGGTTTATCCATGATTGGGAGTGCAGTCAGCACATGAAGTTCTCCTTTCCCGTTATACATCAACCAATGGGGCTGGGTCAGCCCCGCCAGCCTGTGATGCACAGGATGGCTTAACCTGGAACCAGCACCCACACTTGGAACATACTCATCACCTTTCCCTTTAGACTGATGCTACGCCAGTGACCTAAGAACACTTGCTCTCCTGCCACGGCAAGCTCATTCACAACCATCTTCCCTTCCCCATGCTTTTGTACACAGTGGGGAAGTTTTTACATCCTGTCTTCTGCGCTGCTGCTCAGCTGCTGTTGTGGCAGGAGAAGGTAGCTGCTATCACTTGATTCATCAGGATGCGTTTGCATGTCAGCCACAAAACATGACGTGACTGGCTCTTCCAGCCACTGGTCAGGCTTTCCCACGCTTAGGTCCCATTGGCAGGTAGCACCCTTTTCAGTAGCGCGGGCGAATACAGCTCTGTGAGTCACAAGCCCTATCTGCAGCGAGACAAAGGGATGAGGAAAGGAAAAGGGCTTCCTGGTAATTGTGTTTTCCATGGTTCTCTTCGCTGATCCGGTAATAACATAATCATAGAAATTAGAGACAGAAAAGCTCTGCTGGGGCATTGTGTTAACACACTGCCAGTTCCAGATTGCGATCTACCAAGCTGTGGCAGGTAAGTCATCACCTTCCCGGTTGTGCTCCACCCAGGGGGAAAGAAAACAACACATGAAACGAGAAAATAAAGAGATATATTAAAAAACAAACTGAGCTGTGACATTGCCACCACCTATTATGGGTGACTCCTGGTGCAGAGGACTTCATCATAGCAACTCTGCACTGAACAATCTCTGTGGCGGCGTGCAGGGCTGTTCCTCATTTTTAGTGAAGTGGAATGGAAGCAATTATGGATTTTGCCAGCTCCATTCAAAGAGGAGAACTACTGGAGCATTGCAGAGCCTCTAGAGAAGGCAATCGCTGCCTGGCTCCTGAGCTGCACTGACAACGACACTCTACCATGTTTCAAAGCTGTCAAAAGGTTTGGGGAAAGGTACAGGCCTTGCCTGGAGTTAAAGAAAAGCAGTAGAACAGAGCGTGGTGGATGTTTTATGGGTATGAAATGTCTTACCAAGGTAAGATAAGTCACTTGTGTAAACAAACATATGCTGAAATAATCATCTTAGTTTGCAGATGGTAAGTAACCAGGACTAGGGATCCAAGATGTTGAACAGCAAAAGTAACCCCTTCCGATGTAACTAACCTATTTCCCCACTGGGAATGTCCAGTCTATCACTTGTCCCTGGCTTTTAAGTAGAGAATTATCAAAGTCATGTCCTTAAACTAGTACGGCTTATTTTTCCCTATTGTACTGGCTATCGGTGCTCAGAATTGCAGTCTGGAATCACTTTATAAGCATATGCTCAAGACTGAATTGCTGCAGTCCTTGAACCACAATTGTGATTGCCCCTGCTTTTGCTGTGCACACTCCACAAAGTATGTAGCACTGAAATGTTAATGCATTGCATGACTTGGGCTATGTTATTTGTCATCTTACAGCACGTTCTTTTATCTGTTTTTTTTTTTAATAAGTGGTTGTAATAATAACTCACTGCTCACCAGTTGCTTTGTCAGTCTTGGGAAGAGAACTTTCCTACTGCCTGAAAACAAAAACAACTACTGAAACTTCTTCAGTTTCTAGACAGTTCTGACAAATCATGGCTAGCTTAGGTATAAAGGGAAGGAAATGGAGATAACTGATGCACTTAAATGTTTTTCATTCCTCATGTCTCCACTCAATAATTGACAACAAAAGGGAAAAAAAGTTGGTATCAGTCAGGTAGTTCACGGATGATGTACCACAACTGCAATGCATTTTACCATGCTGTGGCACCAGGCCAAAACTGAGAGCACGGGCCTTGGTACCAAGAGCCGCATCAGGGAGTACCATGAGCAGCCCTAGGGAAGGAGAAAAGCAGGAGGAAGAAAAGAGACTTGGCAGAAGAGCCTGGATACCACCAAGTTCATCTGTGACCAAAGTGTTTGCTGTCCCGATCTGCAGCAACAGCTGAAGGGGAAAGTTCCTTCCCATCTTGGAGTGATATTTCATTAAATATCCGACATCCCTTCCCAGTGTATCAGTGCCACCACAACCACAATTTCCACAGTGCTATCTGCAAACCCCTGATGTGGCAGGGCAGAATCATGCTCTCAAGGACCCCCTGGGTGCCCACATGAGGGCAGGGGAGATGCAAGTTCCCTGAGCAACTCTGAGGCTTCCATGCAGCAGGGCTGTCACAGGCTACAGAAATGATGCCAACTCTAGGGAAACATGGCATGGACTTGACACAAATAACCCAAAAGTAATCCAGGCCAGTTCACGGCTGTTACTTCCATGAAGTAAGTCTTGTTTTCATCTCACTAGCAACTGTTTTAATCCAGCATAAACACCAGTGTTGGATTTTTAGTGAGGTTAGACACTTGTATTTGCAGTGTTGGGAGAGAAAGGAGACTTCACCCCAGGATAATTGCCAGATGTGACGTTTAGCGGAGGCATAAAGACAAACCTTTAGCGACTTCAACAGAAACATACCCATTTGCCAATCTCTGAGTGAACCTAGAAGAGCTATGCCTGAAACACCTGAATTTTAGCCCATGAACCTGTGAAAGAGGATCCTATGACCTTGCTCACTGCCCTGAGTCACCGCATAGTAAATACTGCTGTGATTTTAAACCACTTAAAAAACGGTGACTTATATCAGTGAAGATGTATGACTACATATAACAACATCTTTGATAAACAGATAGCGTGTATCAATGTGAGAGACTGTATGAAGTACTCTTTTGTATTACTAACCTAACTGGCAAAGAGAAGTTTCCTTTTGTTTACATCTTTCCTGGCAATAGCATCATGACAACTGTAGCCTGTCTGCAAGAATGTACATGGACCTGGGAACCCAGCCATGTGTTAGCAAACCACAGTGTACTCCACACGTTTCTTGTCCTTTGCTTAATAGCTCTGTGCTTGTACACAAAAGGGGGGAAAAGCTACCTGTGTGTAGTACTGCATTCATTGCGATGATTCATGTTGATCAGCTTCTCCTAGGCAATGGTGAGATCTCAGGTAGGAAGCAGACAACCCTCCATAGCTGTCCTCTTTAAGCTGAAAAATTTCTTCATAGAAGGTGGGGAATAAAATCAGGAAATGAAGCCAAAACAAAGAAAACCTGTTGAAGCATGCAGAGTTTGTCACTGAAGTGTAATCCAAACAGGTTTTGTTTGTTGACAGTTGCATGAGCAAATATAACGATATTCTGAAATGATTTTGACGGGAAGTGTTTTCATGTCAAGTAGCACGTGTGAACTTAACACTAAAGGCACAAGGCCTTCCCAAGTGCCAAGTGAGTGAGATGCGAGCACTGTCACAGTGTCCCTGCCACATGCATTAGCAGTAGCCACCACTGCCAGGGTTTGCCTGCTGAGATGCTGCTGTCTGGAAACCTTTCCCTGTGGCATGTCCCTCACTCACACGGTAAGAGGACATTGTGCTATAGGAGCCAAGTGTTTTCTGCGTTACCTTGCACTGATGCCAAGTCAGAAATCCCACCTGAGCAAGGTGAATGAATCTCCTTAAACACCAATAATTACACTGACACACCAATAATTACACCCACCTGGGACAGAGGTTTAGCTTTCAACTCATCTGGTCTTTGTTCAATTAT